TGCCCCGGGCACCCCCAGGCCAGCCGCTGCTGAAACTGCCCAGCGGCTGACTACAGGAAGCCTGAGGCAGAGTTGCTCTGTCCCAGGCTTCCTGGAATCAGCTGCTGATCAGTTTCAGCAGCAGCTGACTTGGGGACGCCTGGGTTTCTTAAGTTGAATCTGTATGTAAGTCAGAACTGGCGTCCAGATTCAGCCGCGGTTGAAACTGATCAGTTTCAGCAGCGGCTGACGCCAGTTCCGACTTACATACAGATTCAACTTAAGAACAAACCTACAGTCCCTATCTTGTACGTAACCCGGGGACTGCCTGTAAGTGAAAAACTTTTGGTAATAACAGTGAAGAAAAGTATAAAAGTTTTGTGCTGTCGAGCGATCGTACATATTTGTTTTGAATTGAAACAAACCCCCAAAACCCTCCATTATCTCTGTATTTTAACTTGTGTTCATGTTTTTGTGGGCTCTTTATAGTTTTATGAAGTTATTGATGGAGACAAAATAACATGAGAGCCAAGTCTCCTAATGGTATTTCAGTAATCCAGATGCTGAAATGCAGTCAGGAGAACAGATCCTTTCTAAATGTGGCATTGTTCATAGTTACCTAAAGTGTTGAAAATACAAATACAACGATAAGAATCTGCACACACTCCTGGTTTTCATTTGTTCACTGTGTGACCAGTAAAACTGCCTATATAGCATTATCTTGTGGGAAAGTGTAAATTGGTTTGGAGTGAGTATGTGCAATGTTTTGTATCCAGATGGATATTTTCAGATGAGATGTCCTGTGGTGCTGGAACACTTTATATAGTGGGGGCGCTAAAAGCCAGTGGTCTCTAAGCTTTATAATTCATGCCACCCTTACTCCTGTCCTTGTCCCTTCCCTCAGAGTGAGGAGCTTGGTTGCGACCACAGCTAGGGGTGGGATTAGATCTCTGGGTGTGAGGCTGGCAGCTAGGACCTCATGTGTGGGACCAGAAGCAGAGCCCTAGACACAGTGCCAGCAGGAGGCAGGACCATAGACATGGGATCAGCAGCATCTGGGAACCCAGGCATAGGGCTGGTAGAAGCTGGGAATGGAGTCCTGGGTGCAGGGCTGGTGACTGCTGGGAGACTGGACTTAGGGCCAGGTGCGGAGTCCAGGCTACCAGGAGGGGGTACTGAAGCACCCCCACACAGCAGAGGTGGGTAAAATCAGGCCCAGGGTCTGGATCCAGCCTGCCAACAATTTCTTTCCACCTTCCCATCTGATTAGCAGAGCTTGCATACTTACAGTCTGC